CGACACACCATTTCGTCAGTAAAGAATCGAACAGCACTTCCAGACAAGGTCAGACCCGAACACATGAAGAACCTGCCATCAGTACTCATCAATATACTGGCTCAGCTCTTTACACACTACCTGTCTGAATGCAAGGTTCCGTCCCAGTGGAAAACCAGCAGGACTGTACTACTGTACAAGAAGGGAGAAATCCACAACATTGGCAACTATCGCCCGATCTGCCTGTTGTCTGTTGTCTATAAGCTGTTCACTCAAGTCATCCTGAATAGGATTAGTAGAATACTAGATGAAGAACAACCATGCGAGCAAGCCGGTTTCTGAAAAGAAATTAGCACCATCGACCATATCCACACGATAACCAAGCTCATTGAGGTTTCTCAGGAGTTCAAGATGCCACTCTGTCTAATGTTCATTGATTTAAAGAAGGCCTTCAATTCTGTTGAGACTGAAGCAGTCATCGAGGCCCTAGTCAAACAGGGCCTCAAAGTCAATACATCAGGATCTTTCGTGAGCTGTATTGCGGATTCACTACCAGGATCTTACCATTCTACAAGGAGGTGATCATTGATGTTAAGAGAGGGGTTCGGCAGGGTGATACTATTTCACCAAAATTCTTCAATGTCGCCCTCAAGAACGTCATGTGATAACTGGAATAGGAAGGAATGGGAGTGAAGATAGACGGTCGGCAACTACACCACCTCCGCTTCGCTGATGACATCATTCTTATAACACCAAACATCAGCCAAGCAGCACAAATGCTAGCCGACTTCTACCGTGAGTGTGGAAGGGTCAGACTACAGCTAAACTAACAAAGACAATGTTTATGAGAAATGGTCTCATTCTGACGTTCCATTCATTCTCAATGGGATGAACATCTCCGAATGCAACAGTTATGTGTACCTAGGTCGAGAAGTCATTATGACGAATGACCTGGCACCTCAGTTGCGCAGGAGAAACAGAGCGGCTTGGAACGCCTTCAAGAACGTCGAAGAAATAGCTAAGAGGATGAAGAACCTTCGGCTCCTGGCACATCTCTTCGATTCCACTGTTCTTCCTGCATTAACATAACACCTCAGAGACCTGGGCCCTACACAAACATGATGAGAACGCTATTCAAGTCTCCCAAAGAGGAATCGAAAGAGCTATGCTTGGAGTATCACGCTTCACTCAAATGAGAGAAAGAATCCGAAGTTCCGACCTTCATCAACGGTCAAGGATCAGGGACGCTGTCTCGAAAATCAGATGGGCTGGACATGTAATGAGATTTGGAGATGACTGCTGGACTAGAGCCATTACCGACTGGATTCCACGGGAAGTCAAAAGATCACATGGCCACCCACCTATAAGATGGTCAGTCTTTTTCGTCAAGATTCTGAACAATCGATTTGAGACTCTTTGTGTTCCTTGTCATTGGGCTACATTAGCATGCAACAGGGATGAATGGAGACGTTACTGGCGCTCGCTTGAGCGAATCGATGAGTAACAGGATGTTAAGTGATCAAGTGGTGATCTCTGGATCATGGCCGTGTGGGAGCTTAAGTAGATGGTGGCCGTGTGTGGGATGTTGCCCCTTTGCCGGACTCCAGGGTTGGGTTCCACACCTTGGAATTCTCTTCCCCACTATATTTGTCATCCTGCTGTGGGCTTTCTTCCATGGCAGTGGTAGTTCCCATCTTCAATTTGTCTAGGTTCTTCTCCTCTTCTGTCCCTTGCTGTGAGAGTTTGGTTCATTAGGGTTTTAGGTCAGTTTCTGTAAAAATTAATCCAGATTTTTGTGTCAATGCATGAGGAGATAAACACAGTTTCTACCTATTTCATCATCTTGGTTTCACAGTTGTTGCTGTTTGGGGGTGGTCAGGGTACTCCCAAGTAGTGTTCAGGAAGTTCTGTGGCCCCACAGCTATTCTCATCTAACTGGCCAGCAGTGCAGTGCAAAGGCAAAGGATGTGATGCTGCTCAGGACCCATGTTACCACGGATACCCAGGCAATGCTGTGGTGCTCATGGGACTCCTAGACTGTACCTGATGATGCTCAGGGTACCATGTGATGCCAGGAACTGAACCTCAGTTGGGCACTTGCTAGGCCTGAGCCCTAACACAGTACATCCTCCTGGGCCTGTTAGTGCTGTTTTAATAGGAGCCATCCTAATGAATATGAGATGGTATCTCATTATGATTTTTTATTTGCATTTCCCTAATGATTGATGTTTACCATCTTTCAATATGCTTATTAGTCACTTGCGTATCTTTTTTTCAGAATTGCCTATTTAAATTCCATGTATATTTTTAATTTTGCTGTAGTTGAATAGTAGTTGAGTTGAATGTCTTCTTACAGCTGGTCTGTCTAAACCAGGCTCTAACAAGTTCCTCATACTAATGTATTTTATTGTCTAATCTGGAGGAAATCACCTTCCTTCTCTTCCTTGCCATTGATTTATAGCAGAATTAAAATCTGTTACTTTAATTCTTTAATACTTACCGTTTTGTATTTTATTTTTGTTACAGTCCTCTGTTTTGTTCTTACTAATTCCAACAGTGAAAGATGAGGGTTTCTCTAGTAATGGTTCCAAGAAAACTAAACCATAAAGAAGAGGAAGCGTTCACTGCACCTGAGAACCCAGTTATGTGGAGGGGGAGATGGGTCCAAAGAAAGGCAGATAACGGGCTATGGGGTTCAGATGTAGGCTCAGGGGCCAAAAGGTGGCTCAGAGGGTTGGAATGCTGCTTTGCCTGTGGGAGGCCTGGGTCCCACAGTCCCCCCAGCACCAGTCCTATGGGTAACAGACCTAAGGGTGAGTCCTTGAAAGAACTCCACCTACTTCTAGCAAAATAGCCCAGCTGACTGGGGACAGAGACCATTATCAAGACTGCGTACTCCCAGTCAACACACCCATCTCCCCTCCTGCCTCACAGTCCCTGGAGAAGTAAGTCCCTGAACACCACAAAACCCAAATCAGGTGAAGGTGAGGAGACACACGCCTCCAACCTGCCCTGAGAGAATGATCAGCTTTACTCGTAACTGGTTTGGTGATTCCCAGAGAGTCCCCATGAGGAGAAGCAGATCCTAGGTCTGTCTCCCCAGCTGTGTGTGGCACAAGGACTATGCCGTGCAGACCCTGGAGCCACACTGCAGCTGTGTTCTCTATGGCTCTCTGTGCTCTGCTCTGAATACACGCGCCATCCCAGAGTCCCTAAAGTGCAGAGGCAAGGCCTGTGGCCTCTTGGAGGCTCTACCAGGCCACAGCAATGAAACCAAAGAGAAGCTGGTCACTGATAACTGATCACTGATACTTATCTCTTAGAATAGGCTTGTTGGCATTTTTTTCTTTATATTTCCCACATTTTCTTGAGTGAATGGTAAACGGTCCTCCCGTTGTTCATCGATTTGCTTGAGCGGGCCCAGTAACGTCTCCATTGGAGACTTTGTTGTTACTGTGTTTGGCATATCGGGTAGCTTGCCAGGCTCTGCCGTGCGGGCGAGATACTCTCGGTAGCTTGCCGGGCTCTCCGAGAGGGGCGGAGGAATCAAACTCAGGTCAGCCATGTTGGCTGCGTGCAAGGCAAACGCCCTACTGCTGTGCTATCGCTCCAGCCTGAATGATGAACAAATGATATAATTTTTAATTGTATTAAAACACTGATTTACAAAGTGATTCATCATTGAGTTTTAGACAATGTTCCTGCACGGATCCCACAAGTGTCACCCAGTGTTGCCAGGTACCCTCTCCTACCCTCCCACCTGCAGCCTATCATATTGATAGACACCTTTTTTAAGTTTGGTTGTTAAAAGTTTGGGTCTCATAATTTGTGTTGTTGGATATTTAGCTCTATCATTTTTTTTTGTTTGTTTTTGGCCACACCAAGCGATGTTCAGGGGTTACCCTTGGCTTTGCACTCAGGAATCACTCCTAGTGGCACTCAAGGGAACATATGGGATTCTGGGAATCCAACTCACATTCAAGGTAAATGCCCCTACTTGCTCTGGTCCCTCTATCATTCGTCCTGCCCCCCAAACTCTTCTCCCTGCCCCCCAAACTCAATTCCTTGAAAATGATCCTTTTTTTTGTTTGCTTTTGGGCCACACCCATCTGTGCTCAGGGCTTACTTCTAGGATTGTGCTAGGTCATAAATGCTACAGGGGATCAATGAGGGCTGAAGAGGTCACATGTAAGGCAGGTGCCTTAAAAGCCGTCTGTACTATCTCTGTAGATTCCATTTAAAGAGAGCACCACATGACAGTACAGCAATAAGATGCTTGCCTTAGACGTGGCCAAACTGGGTTTCTATCCCTGGCAACCCATATGGTCACAGAGCACCACCGGGAGTAATTACTCCATATAGAACCTGGAGTAACCCCTGAATATCACCAGGTGTGACCAAAAAGTCAAAAGAAAAAAAAAAGGATAGCTTTACAACCTTAGGATTAACACAATCCCCAAAGATCACTTTTCTTTCTTTCACTGTTGTGTGTGTGTGTGTGTGTGTGTGTGTGTGTGTGTGTGTGAAGCAAGAAAATTTAGATTGAATCTTATTTAGAAAGATGTGAGCGGAGGAGAAAGGGAGAAATATATGCTTGAGAGAGAAGACAGGCTTCTCCAGAGTGGACACAAGCAAGCAATGAAACATAGAGATGCCCATGCAAGATACATGTTCAAAGGAGTAAGTGGGTTGGAGGAGCTAGCCAAGATCACCATTCTTTAATGATAGCTGAGTTCTCCAGAGATCTGAAGGTTGGAATTGGGATTCTCTGGAATCCTAGAAAAGCAGTATCCACCCACTGGCTGTGGCAGGCCCCAGGACCAGGCCCCTAACCCAGAGAAGGCTAAGTGTTGAGGCTTGTGCACCCTGGTTCTGCCTGGGGTCCCAGTAAGGGGTAAAGCCATCATGCGGGCCCTGCCAAATGAGTTGAACCACGTCAAAAGCCAGTTTTCTTGCCTAGGAGAAATCTCATGTTACTATTTGCAGATTCTGTCCAGACAAATGAAACCTGATGCTCCCAAAGTAGATAATTCTTTATTTAAAAAAAAAAAAATCAGGACACAGAGGGAGGCATAACCAACCAGTGGTACTAGGAACCCAAATAAAACAGGTGTGAAAAACATTTTTGGACTTTCGGAAAAACACTTTCCAGCAGCACAGCAGGGCAGTCTCAGAGAACTAAGTACCTCAGAACCAAGCAGCAGCGAGGGTCCCTCCCAAGGCCCTGACAGGGGCAGTCCATGCCCATTCCAGCCTGACTGTCGGTGCACACACTTCCAGCGAGATTTAGGGTCCTGGGGTCTGCTCAGGAACACAGACCTCTGAAACTATGACATTTTCTCCCCCAAGGAGAACTTGCAGGTAATATCCAAATCCCCTTTGGAGAGAAAACAGCTCTGCCTGTGATTAACTTGCTCGAGTTCCAGCTCTCCCCCGCCTCCCTCTGCTTTCCTGGCTGCTTAAATACAGCACACTGGGGCCTCTCCAGAGTTTCAGTAAGTATAGGAGAAAGTAAAGAGAGGAAAGAGTGCCCCATCTTGCACCCTGGGCTAGTCCCTGCATCGGGGAGGCCTTTCCCAGACAGTCATTTCGTTTGTGTGTGCCCGCACTCCTGTCTCTCTGTGTGACTGTCTGTCAACCTTCTATGGGCAGCTTGAGGAGGTCAGCCAAATGTGCTGGCTGTGCCAGAGGCTGGAGTCCACCTTAGGTCCGGTACATATGGCCACAGACATCTCTGAAAGAGAAAGTGAAAAGCTCTGGCCAATCTCTTGGGAACTCGTTCCCTGAACAGTGGGCAGAGCCTGGGAGGAATCAGAAGCATGTGTGAGTGGGATCCACTGGAGAATCGCATTCCTAGTGGGCTCCCCCCTGACTGGGCCGGCAGACAGGGGGAAAAGGGAGATGAGGTGGGCAAAGGCATCCTAAGGTACCACTGTGGCAGCAGCTGTCCAGCAGTGCCCTGTGCCAGAGATGTCCAGCACTTGGTTTATGAGCCAGCTCACCCTTGGCCAAGACTGTTCACTCAGAACAGTCACAGGTTCACTTTCCACAGCGAGCTGAACGGAGTACTTGCAGTCTCTCTTCATCCTACTTAGTCCTCAGGCAGAGACACCGAGTCCCACTGTCCTCTTCTTCATCCCAGCTGGCGCTGTTTTCACTGTCCTGGGACCAGCAAGTGGACACGCTCTTCGTAGCCACGGGGCATGCAGGATGTAGGGCAGGGCACCCAGAGAGGGACAGCAGGTGCAGATCTCTGGAAGGTGAGAGGCAAGAGGAGCCCCTCCATCCCGCCAGGCAGATACACCCGCACTCCCAGGGCCCCAGGGCCAGCTTCAGGGAAGGGACAGGGCCTTGGCAAGGCGAGTCCAGAACCAGGACTTGGTACAGGGGTTGGTGTAGTCGCAGATGGTGATGAAGCGCAGGATGCTGGGGAACTCGTTCTTCATGGGCTTGTACTTGATGGGAATCAATCGCTTCTGATGGGCGCCTACAAGCCAAAGGATGCAGAGCTGACACCAGGTGCTGGCCCACAGAGAGAGTGGGGGCCACTCCTGGCCAAGCTCCCCTGGCATACATCTGCCTGCACCAAGGACACATGCGTGCATGTGCACTCGGTGTGAGAGACCGAGAGGCGATCCTCAAAGCAGCAGAAAGGAAGACCGGCTTCCTGAAGCTGGGGGGTGGAGGAGTTGAGAGCAGGGGTGAGTTTACCTGGAGAGAGGCTGAGTGCAAACTTGGTCTGGAAGTCACATTCCTTGCTTTGAAGGTAATCGTCTGAGACAACCACCACCATCCGGCGGCACCTAGGGGTAAGAGGGCAGGTTACAGGTACTGAAGTACCATTGCGACCTGCCTCATTCCCCCTTCCCCCACAAGTCTCTGGAAGACCCCTCTGTGCTCTGGGCAGAAGCATCATGCCTGAGAAGCCAGAATGAAAGTACAGTAGGTGGGGCTGGAGCAATAGTACAGCAGGGAGGACATGTGCTTTGCACGTGGCCAATCCAGGATCGATCCCTGGCATCCCATATGGTACCCTGAGCACCATCAGAAGTAATTCCTGAGTGCAGAACTAGGAGTAATCTCTGAGCATCACAGAGTGTGACCCAAAAAGCCCCGCCCCCCCCAAAAAAGAAAAAAAAATACATCAGGTAGGGTGCTTTCCTTGCACACAGTTGACCTGGTTTTAATCCCCAGCACCAGATATAGTCCCCCAAATACCATCAGGAGTGATTCCCGAGTACAAAGCCAGAAGTATACCCTGAGCACAGCCAAAGCAAAAAACATAAAAGAAGGGTCCAGGTAAGAGAATCCCCAGACAGCCAATGGTGCACACAGCCCAAGTCCCCTGCCACCCTGCCCACCTCTTCTCAATGAGCTCGCTGGTGATGGACCAAACACAGGTGCCAGGCAGGACATCGCGGTCGAACACGCACAGCTTCAGCCGATAGTTGGTCTGTTCCAGCTGCTGGATCATCTCATACACAAACTGGATGTCGTTGGGGCAGTAGCAGATGAAAGCATCGAAAAGCTCAGGCATTTGCCCTGGTTGGAGAGAACCAGGGTGAGGGTGCAGGAGTAGGTGAGGGCTGGAAAGGAAGCCTGGGGAGGAGGGAAGCAGAGAGAGCCGTGTCCTGGACCCCACCCCAGTCCAGAGATGACAGGGCTGAGAGAAAGTGCCCTTCCCAGGGGCAGAAGGATGAGCGCCTGCCCATCTCTGGACACACCAGCTCTGCGCCATCCCTAGAGGGGATTGTTACTCTGGGTCCTGGGTAAGGAGAGGGAGGCTTAGACATGAAATGACTGGCCCACAGGAGAGAACCTCTGTTCTCTAACCCCCACACCCCCAGGCCTCAGCCGCTTACCCAGGGGGTCGTCCAGGGTGGTGATGCCTGAACGCTCTGGTGTCCGAGGATTGCTGCTGCCCACCTTGGGCACCTGGAGGGGCTTCTCAGACTCCTCCTCCTGCTGCTTCTGAATATACCTTTTGCAATCCTCCTCTGGGAAGAGATTTGGGGTGAGGAAGCTAGCCCGGGGGTGCCCCTCTCCCACCTCCCTGGTTCTCACTGTGCTCCAGGACCCCTCCAACAGCCAAAAAGCTGGGTCAAGGGGGCCTCCCAACTGTATTGGAGCATCTCAAAGGAATGCAGTGGGGTTTGGGCCAGCAGGGAAGCCGGTAGGGTCAGGCTCTGGTTTCTGTCCCAGCTCCCCTTCCCAGAAGGGAGAGAGGTGGCTCCTGAGAATGGCACCTGCAATCAGGTTCTGGGATCTGTGAGTCTGGGGGCTGCATACTGGAAGGGCCTGAGACCCACAGGTGTGTGTGTGTGGGGGGGTGTCTGTCCAAGTGGAAGTATGCCCAGACAAGCAGGGTGTAGTGGTCTGAGCCTCTGAGCCCAAATGGATGCTGTGATGTGCACTGTATGGGGGAGCTGGGAGCGGACAGTATGGTAAATTCCTGCCAAGCAGGTTTCTTAAACCCTTACCTGCCCTGTGATTCTAAGCTGAAGCCCCCACCCCAACTCCTGGCCCTCACACAGGAAAGCTTCCGTCTAAGCAATCTCTCCCTCCTCAGCCTCTTCTTCAATCTCCCTATCTTTCCAGATATTGAAAACAGGAACTGGGCTCAGAGCAGTCCCCTCCTCCACCCCCTCATCTCAGGCCTGAGACTGGAAGGAAGCTGTGGCTGGCCTGCGGCATCCCCCTTGCAGGGTGTGTGTGTGTGTGTGTGTGTGTTGAGTGAGTGGGAGCGTGTGTGCGTGCGTGTGTGTGCGCTGGGAGGGTGTGTGTGTGTGTGTGTATGTGTGTGTATTGAGTGAGTGGGAGCGTGTGTGCGTGCGTGTGTGTGCGCTAGGAGGGTGTGTGTGTGTGTGTGTGTGTGTATGCGGGGAGGGTGTGCGTGTGTGTGTGTGTTGAGCGGGGGTCCTCACCGATGCTGGGCCCCAGCTCCTGCAGCACGTCGTCGCGGCCCAGCTTGGCGAGCAGCTCGAGCAGGCGGCCCACCGAGGCGCCCGGGCGGCCCTGCCAGGCCTCCAGCAGGTGGCCCGTGGGGTCGGTGCGCGTCTCCAGCAGCCGGATCTCCAGGTACTCGAAGCCCATCTCCTCGGCCAGCGCCGTCCAGTCGGCCGCCACGGGCGTGGGCACGTTGAGGAAGAGCGCCAAGCGGCGGCGCACCCGCATGTTGAGCGCCACCAGGGGCAGCGAGGCCAGGGAGCACGCGAGGAGCGCGGGGTGCCCCTCTGCCATGGCCGGCTCGACTAGCGCTTCCTCTTCCCCGACGCCGCCCCGCGCGCCCGGCCCGCCCGGACGCCGGCTTTCGCTTTCCGAGAAGGGCCGCCCAGACCCAAGATGGGCGGGCACGGGGACGCCGCGTGCCTGGGGCGGGGGGTGGGGTTACAGGGAACGCCCCCCCAGTCTCTAGGTACACCCCCGCGAATATCCTTCCTCCAGGCCTCTGATGGGGCTGTGAGGGACCAATCTCCCCCCTCCCCATCCCGGGTTCAGGTCGGCGGGAGCGGGTGGAGTTGGGAGGGATGGTTGATCCCGCCTCCGAGGATGGAGGAGGGTCCCAGGGGGCAGCGCTGACTATGCAGCCTCCCCCCCTTCCCACCCGCCACCCCCCACAACACGCAACCCCTAGCACCAAGTGCAAGGTGGAAGAGGCCTTCTGGAATCTTCTACAAGCTCTGCTTGGAAGGGGGCAGGGGTGGGTAGGTGGGGGGGGGGGGTGCAGCACGACCTTACCCACCCCACCCCCAGTGCAGAAAACCCCGGTTGAAAGGTACACTAGCCTTTGGGAACTGCAGGGAAGTTAGTATTGCTTCCCAAGGTGGAGGGGGACACATTGAAAGGCATCCAGAGACCAGAACCTTTGCTCTCCGGTGGGCATAGAAAGCATAGCCCTGGCTATTTGCTTAGCCGACAGGTGTTTAAGGAGCTGCTTACTAGGCACCAAACATTTGCGGGTACCCTGGGAGAGAAGGTGCGAGTCAAGTGGGGGTGTGGTGGGCACGGAACAAATAACCTCTCGGTGGGAATCACGCCACATCTCTGCACCTTGTACAAATCCGTTCTCTGACCACCCGAGAAATCAGATTCCCTTGGATTTTTTTTTTCCTGCACTTTCCAGAGTGTTCAGAATTACTTAGAAACCCCTGCTCAGACTTGAGGATCCTAGAAGCGGCTGGGAGGATGGGAAGGGGGAGTCGAAATAAAGCACTGGCACTTCCAGCCCCAGGCTCAGCAGCCCCGCCTTCTGCTTGCCTAGCCCGCCAGGGTGCCCAGGAAGAGAAAGGAATTCCGACCTGGTGCTGGGTGCTATTTTAAAGACGCAGCACGGTGGTGAGATCGGGTGCTGGTATGCCTGAAACTCAACTATGAATAACTTCGTAAGTCTAATGTTAAAAAGCTTTTTTAAATAAAGACGCCCACAAAGGGGGCGGGGAGAGTGCTCCAGGGGCATAGAGAGTGCTTTGCATCGGGGGGGGGTGGGTCTGATTCGCTACCCGCCACCACATGTCCCCTGTGCATTGCCGGGGGGGAGTCCCCGAGCGCCCCAGTTGTGTCCACCAAACTCGTCCCAAAAACGTAACAAGAGCTGTCAAAAGAATCTCCTCTAGGATTTGGTGGCTAGCCGAAGGTTTTCCAGGTTCCGTGTCTGGGCGGAGCTTCAGGAAAACCCGCCTTCTGATTGGTTGTGTGGCTGACGATAGGCGGGGCTTCAGGCGGAGACTTGTAGACTTGGCTTTCCGCAGTTTTGGGGGAGAAGGAGGGACTTCGGGCAGATGCACCTTGTGATTGGCTGAGGTGGGAGGTGGGGCGGGATTTCGGAGGATGCGTCTGTCCCGCAGGGCTGTGGGCGGTGCTGAGGCTACTAAGCCCAAGTTTCGGTTGCGCGCCTGCGCGGGGCGCGGCTTGTTGGTTCCTGCGGTCGGTTCTGGCCCAGTCGGGTCTAGCAGGCCGAGCTGCGCCATGCGAAGGTTGCAGGTGGTGCTGGGTCACCTGAAGGGCCGGCCCGATTCGGGCTCCGAACCGGCAGTGGAGGCCGAGCCATGCAGGGCCGGCGCTCCGCAGGCGTCCGCCGAGGACGTGGTGGTGGTGCACGGCCGGCGCACGGCCATAGGCCGAAGCGGCCGCGGTGGTTTCAAGGTGAGGCCGCTGGATCTGGCTTGGGGGTCGGGCTCTTCCCTGTTGCACGCACCCGAGCTGTGGCGCTCCTCGACTGTGTGTGAGGGGGGTAGGGGGGGGCGAGGAGCTGGGGTTCCGGGAGCCCCGTGCGCTGCAGACGGATCGGCGGGTTCAGGGGGTGACCGCTGCCGCGCCTCCTGCTGCAGGACACCACCCCCGATGAGCTGCTCTCGGCTGTCATGACCGCGGTTCTCCGGGATGTGAAGCTACGTCCAGAGCAGCTGGGCGATATCTGCGTGGGTGAGCGTCCTCCTCGGGCCGGGTGCGCCAGACCCCTCCTCTGCCTCCCGAGGCCGGCTCTCCCCGAGCGAAATGTCAGAGTCCACGCAGTTCTGATTCAGTGCCCCTGCAGGACTGGACTTCTCGCCTGTTTCAACTCACTTGTTTTCCTCCCCTTAGCTTCTTGTCCCTTCCCCTGCGTCCCCCTCTCCTCTGAGGCCCCCTCCACCCGGCTAGGTCCAACCCAGTGCCTCACCGTTGTAAGGCTGGTCGGAGTGATGGAATGGTGGGGACGTTCTAATGCAGAGGCTCTTAACATGGTCTTTCGAGAGTGCCCATAGGCTCTCGATGTACTCTCATCCCTGTGTGTACCAGGCCAGGATAAAGGGAGCACCAAACACCATCTTGTTCAGCCCCTCATTTGTGGGTGGAGAAACTGAGGCCTGTGGAATGGGCTGCAGAGTTAGACTCAATCTCTTATCCTTGCATGCAACCTTCGCCTCCTGCTCCAGGTCCTCTAACCTGGAAACTAATGGGGGTGATTGTGCATGCCACCACTGGTGAAAGTCACTGTTCTGCCTCCCCAGGGCCTCCCAGGTGTCTTTTCAGAGGCGAGTCCCTCCCACCACCCCACCCAACAGAAACAGTTCCTTAGCCCACAAGCTAAGGAACAAGCCCACAAGCCTGGCACCACATGCTTTCCTTTCCATGTCCCCTTTAAAGGCATACATCCACCCAGTGGCTGCTTGTTGGGCAGATCAGGGCAGTGGGGAGGGTAGCTGGGCCCCTCCACACAGACCAGGCTGAGTGACCCACCAGACCGTTGCTGTGTGACTGCCCCGCTAGCACCCCCACACCTGGACTCCAAACCCTGAAGTTCTAAACACTCAAGTGAGCCTGCGCAGGATTCAGTTTCCTGTAGAAAATCATAGCTGCCTTAGTGCCAGGCCCCTGCCGCTACCTGGCACTGAATCGATACTTGTCATCTGCAGGAAATGTGCTTCAGCCGGGGGCTGGGGCCATCATGGCCCGCATCGCCCAGTTTCTGTGGTATGTATGCGCTTTTGATTGGTGGTATTGGCTCTATGTGGGTGCTGGCCCCACTGGTCTCAGCCTATGGGCGTTGGGGGACTGGACACTGGTGTGCCCAGGATCCCCTGTGCTCTGCCCTGGTGCCTCTCACCTTTCCCCTACTTCTGGAGGGGGGTGTATTCACTGCCCAGAGCCAGAGAAAACAAGGCCTTTGGGACAGGAGCAACTGCACTGATTTTCAACAGAGCTGATTTTCAGCCAGAGACGCTCGCTGCTTTGCTCTAGTAGGTGCGGACTCTGCCCTTTGAACTTTCTGCTCTTTGAGCAAGCTGGTACCCTCCACCTTTTGCCCATTGGCAGAGACTTGAAACAGGGCAGAATCCTGGAGCAAGGGGTGGTGACTCCTGAGGGCCCCTGAGAGCCAGGGAAGTGTGTTAATGATCTTCACACAGCAATCTGAGAACTAGTTAGCTCTGCCCTCTGCCCATGTGAAGAAACCATCGGGACATTGAATAAGAACAAGCAGAACCTGTAGGGACGGGGCAGGTCAGGGCTGCTGGGGCTGGAGTCAGAGATCAAACTGGACTCCCACGGTTTGATCCCACCAGCCTTATCTCCCCACCTCTCCATTCCCCCTGCCACCACTGCCCTGCTGACTTCCTGGTCCTGCCCTTACCCTGGAGTGCTGGCTGGCTCCTTCACTCTGCCCTACTTACAAACCCTGACCAAACAGTTTCATCACCCTGGTCCTCTTCCCCGAGCGCCTGGGCCTCCTCTCCGCTGGCCGGCCATGTGCTTCCTGGCCAAATGGCTTCGCCTCTGCCATTCTGTCTCTGCTGGTAGATTGATCGTCTCTGTGAGGCTCAGGCATCTCTGGGTCAGTGTTTCTCAGCCTTTTTCTGATCATGACCTCCCTCTGATCTTGTTTCCTTCCTGTGGCCCTCAGTTTTACTAATTGGTCCCCCTCCCAACCCATTTACATAATTTTCACCCCTCGGAATTTTCTGGGGTCCCCAGGGGCTTGTATAGTTGCTCTGGAACATTCCTGAGAAGCCTGTCCACACCCCACAGTTGACCCAGACTCAATGTGCGCTGACTGCCTATGGGTCAGGTAGATGGGGATTGATGCAAGGTTGGGGTACCGGGAGGGGTTAAATGGGGCTGGCCTGAGAGGCTTTCAGCAGGATCTGGACTCAGGCTCAGGTTGCCTGGCTCTGACTACAGCAGCATCACTGGGGAGTTCCTGCCCCTCAGCCCTGAGTCCATGGGACTGGGGGGGTCACCCCAATGCCTTATGCCCTTGACCAGGAGGAGCAGATCCCTAGTTTCCAGGGAGGGGGTTTACATGAGGGGCACCTGCTAGAACAGGGGTGTTAGAGCCCACCAGCCTTCAGGGTTCTTTGTCTCATTGGAAAGAGGATTTCCAGGGATAGAGAGGACAGACAGCGTTAGCCAGACAGTTTCTAAGAGGGCTGAGGCGTGGGGATGTTTCTCTACTCAAACTGCAGCCGTTTCTTTCATGCTAGTGCTGGGACCCAGAGTAGATTCTCTTCTCTTATTGGTGTGTGTGTGTGTGTCTGTGTGTCTGTGTGTGTGTGAGTGTGTGAGTGTTGGAGCCATACCTAGTAACGCTCAGGGGAGTGTGCAGTGTTTGGGATCAAACCTGGGCTTCCTGGGGGCTGGAGTGAGAGTACATACACATTTGCCGTACACTTTGCCAACCTGGATTCGGTGTCTGGCACCACATACGATCCCTTGATACTCACTAGGAGTGACCCCGGAGCAAACTCAGGAGTAAGCCTGACCACTACCCTCTGCGACCCCCTCAAAACAGTGCCAAAACCCT